TTGCAGACTCCCGATCTAACAGATAAAATATCTCTATCTGAATAGACCTGAAACCTAGAGCTGATTGTAATTTACAAATAAAAAAATATGTTAATGTAAATTGTAAAAGGACAAATATGAAATTGGTCCAAGAGAAAATCAGTTACATTGTCTTCTGTCAGCTATTGCCATCTTCAGAATTTGATTTAATATCACGCTGCAAAAACGAGTCTAGATTAATAATATCTCTTAAAATAAGGGCCCTTAATTTGAGAAGATAAATGTGATCTGACAAAGGAAGAGATATTTTTGCCCTTATAGTATGGAGTTTTATTAGTCTTATTTTAAATATCCATCAACTCTGTTTTCATTGGCAAATTTTCTTACCTAGAAAAAGTTTATTTATTTCTTTTTTATTTTTTGCAGTGTATGTTTTCAGTACAGGGGCCAGGGCTTGCTCTGCAGATGTTCTGGTCCCAATTGGCTCCTGTCTAGAACCGCCCATATTTGGGATTGTCTTTGTTTTGTCATTTGATCAATTCTGAACTTTTTTTTCTACTTAAATTTGACTTCAAAAAGCAGCTGCATACTGTCCAATCAATCTGACTAGCCTAGACTACATTAGACCAGACTAGACTAGACTAGAATAGAATAGAATAGAATAGAATAGAATCGAAAAGAATAGAATAGAATAGAATAGAACTCTATTTTCAAGTTCAAGGGCCCCGTAGAACATTAGACTACATTCAATTTATAATGTAGTGTAGCTTTACATCTCTAATTAAAAAAAACCTCTAATTGTGCTGATAAACTCTAATGATTTGTGGCCAATTTCTTTTTTAAACACAAACACAGTAATCATTTGCAATAAAATGGTATAAGTGGATTGAGAATAGGGTAAACAGAAACTTAACTAATTAAAAATATATAATCTGTGTCTGAGATTTACAAATTCAAATGTCATCAATTTAAATTTGTCATAGCTATTCTGGGTTAATGTTTATAACTCTTACTACTTTACCTATTTATTGTATAAAATATATCATTGTGCATCCTCTCACTAAATTATAGTGGTAATAGATGAAGATGTTACCTTAGAAGGTTTAACTGGAGTATTCACATGTTTAAGTTTTCGCACTTTTAAGTATTAAGTCTTTTATTTATTCGGTGTTTAAGCTGTTTTCTTCATTAAATGTGACATGATTATAAAATATATATTAGTGTCATATAAAGATAATAAGAGTAAATACAAAATGCAGTTTATAATTTGGGATTTTAAGTATTATCAGGGAAAAATATCCAATAAAAGCTGGCGCAGTTCAGCAATCACTCCCACTCTTCTGTGCAGAAGTCATTCAGCCAGATTGGAGAGTTTTCTGGCCTGTAGAATCTATTTAAAAGCACACAAACTTTGACTAGGCCATTCCAAATTCTTAACATTTAACCATTCAGGGGTGAAGTTGCTGGACAAATAAATTATGATAGATGATTATTCCCCTTCAGGATTATTGCAATTGAGGGTTTTTTTCTGAAAGAATTAATTACTTAACAGATTAGAGAAACAGACACACAAACAATCACTTCTAACCTTTAAGGTTAAACCGGGGGTTAGATGTGCTTTATTTGCCATCTGGGTCCTTTTTTTGTCCCTTCCTGGGTGAGATATAACTTTGCTATGGACTAATTTTGGTCAACTTAAAGACCTCTCCTGATAGATAAATATAACATTTAGTTTCTCCACTTTTATTGTCTGTTCATACTGATTATCTAAAATCATTATTTGATTGAGGCATGGTAGATAAGACACCATTTGCATCGGGTTATCTTTGATTTGGAATAATATTCAAATCATGATGTGGAATATGTAAATATGAGAAAATAAATGAGAAAACCTGTTCAATGGGAAAATGCTTTTCAAATTCATGCTATGGCTGTTGGAATGTGTGATTAAAACCATGCCTTTATTGTGAAAAGCCATGCTCGTTTTTTTGGAGCGTTGGCGTCATCTTTACGCTTCTCTATCCCACCCACTGTGCGCATGCGCGCTCCGCTTCGCTCCCTCTCCGCAGGATGATTCGCACCAGAAAATAATAATAAAAGGAGAGCAGAGATTTGGACATTTATCCTGTTGGAGCAGGACATGGCGGGTTAAGGGAACAACTAACGACTGACTAATATGTAATGACAGCAAGTGACAACTTAAAAACAAAGAATATTTAAATGGCTGCTTTAATGTTTAACCACATCCATCATTAAAAAGCATTAAACATTTTATTTCAACAATTTATCATAAAAAAGCATTAAAATAGCTTAGTTTAGATTATATATTAAAGATAAGATAGATAATAAATGTTGCTCTCTTAGTAACTCAGTGGATTACATCTATCTATTATATTTCATTTAACGTCTCCATGTAGTAATCCTCCAAATGTTTCTATTCTGAATTCTACCCTTTCTATACAGCAGAGATATTTTTGAATTTATCTGTGTGATCTTAGAGTAATCTGAAACACATTTATAAATGTTCAACTGATTAAAAAATCTAGGTGGCTGAATTTAACATCATGTCCCTATCAGAGTTTTCAGTCAGGGGCGGAGCTAGATAGGGCCCAGGGGTGGCCATGGCCACCCATAGCTAATCATTGGCCACCCCTACCATTTATGTCCCTCTAATACAGACAGTGGCAGCAGTAATACTATCAAGAGGAATGTTTTAATTTTTTCAATTTTTTTATATATTAATAGTTGACAACTAAAACGCTGTGGTTAATTATGCACATCTAAATACTAACATTATAGTTTATACTGTATGTAAAGAATTCATGCTCTTTTTTAAGGCCCTAATTTTGTGTTGTGTGGGGTAAAGAGAAAATTATGTGTCTCTGTAAGTCATCAAGGAGTTTTCAGTGAAATTATAGATAATTAAAATGGGAAAGATGTTTGCCCCAGACATTTTTTTTAAATATATGCATCTATTTGTAATCAAAAGGAAAATAGTTGGAACATATAGTTTGTCTTTATTTAGAAAATATCCATATTTGTTGTGCTCGTTCCTGTTGGAACAGTGTAGATGGACCCTTAGGCTATGGCACCTGTCCGCTTTTGGCCACTCCTCAGTTTACATTGGTTTTTGACTGGCAACCCTTATTAAAAATTTCTGGCTCCGCCTCTGTCTTCAGTGCCATCATGAACCCCATTGGTCATCCCTGCCAGGTGTTTTATTGGTCCCATTTGCTCATGATTCACCACCTATGGAACAAGCAGTTCTCCTGTAAACCAGAGGGTGGCAGCAGGGATACCATTGTTTAGAATTAAGAAAGAAAAATCAGACTTAAACAGAGTTGGACTTAAGTTTCAGCTCTCAAAGACCTACAACAGAGCGATAGAGTTGGTTCGTTCTTGCTATCATACTCCTCATGGCCATGCAGGGGACCAAGACATCCCACCTGGTCAGGCAGGCCAGTATTGCCCCTAATGATTACCCCCATTCAGAGGCATAGACCAGTATTGGGCATTGCAGGCTAACAGAGACCTCAAATGACTCCCCATTACTTAGGGGTGGACCTGTCCTTCTGATTGAATTTGCATGTTTTCTAAGTCACAACAAGGATTTGTTTGGGCTACTCTATAAAGCTTGGAACTCAACGCTAATTCTGACATTTTGAATCGAAAAAGCTTCCTGGATGAGCAGTGAAATGTCTTGGAAAACAAAGTCCGGTGTTTTTGGGGTTTTTTCTCACTTTTTTGGAATGACTATGAGGCGGTGCAGTGGGTAGCTGTGCTGCCTTGCAGCAAGAAGGTTTTTAGTTCGATTGGGCCTAGGGTTTTTCTTCGTGGAGTTTGCATGTTCTCCCTGAGCA